GCCCTGGCAGATGTAGCCATTTAGGAAGTAGAGCAGAGGACAAAATTCTGTCTCTTCTCCTCTTTCTGTAACTCTGCCTTTCAAACAAATGAACAAAAACAAATCTTAGAGAGCACATCCCCTTTGTTTCCCAGTGTACGGAGGATTATCACCTGCCGTGGGTGTGGATTCTGTTAACCGCCTCTAATGCCATGGCTGAGCCGCTGCTACATTCCTGTTCCCGTGAAAGTCTGATGTCCAACCTCCCTGTCTGAGAGGAAGTCCCCTTATGACGCGGGACTGCCTTCCTGTGCTCCGGCCAGCAGAGCCAGTAACGTGGACACGGAGAGGGCCTGGGGATGAAGCACCGACAGGAGACCAGTGATGGTGCAAGTCTCCCCGAAGTCTCCCTTTATTACTCCTTTCACACTCTTTCCCACAAGCCCTTTAACCAAATAATAGGATGCCAATGAGTCTGATTAGACCAGGTGCTTTTAGCCGCAAGCCTATTTCCTATTACCGCTCGGCTTAACCAGTGCTAATCAACTCCTTAGCCCATAACATTGCTGTTGGCTGGGTTTGATTGGCTCAGCATTATAGGATCCAGGATTGTGACTCACAAGATGTGAAAATTGTTGACAAGATGTTAAGTTTTTGCAGCTTCGTGAAATGAGCTGGGAAGTAGTCCCTCCCTTCCCCATCTCATTGCTCCTGAGTTTGTGGAAGAAAGAACATTGAATTTTCAAAAATGGTTGTTTATTTTTATTTGAAAGGCAGAGTTAATGAGAGAGAGAGAGAGAAAGAAAGAGAGAAAGAAAGAATCTTCCATCCATTGGTTCACTCTCCAAATGGTTGCAGATCAAAGTTGGGCTGGTCTGAAGCCAGCAGCCAGGAGCTTCTCCCAGGTTTCCCACACTGGTGAAGGTTCCCAAAGAATTGGAGACCTCTGCTGCTTTTCCAGGCCACAAGCAGCTGGAAGGGAAGTGCAGCAGCTGGGTCTCCAACTGGTGCCCACATGGTATGCCAGCACTGCGGGTGGAGATTCAGTGTACTGTGCCATGATGCCAGCCTAAAACTGCTGTTTTTAACCACTCCCCCTTTTTTTAAAATTGGAGATTAAGCCACAGCGCCTCGTGAGACGCATCCTCAAGCAAAAGCTGGGAAGGTGAGACATTCACATCCTTGCCTCTCTTCTGAGCATCACTTCCAGGACCACACGGCATCGTTTTCTTGGCTGCTGTGGTTTTAGCTCTCATGTCATGCAGCCACTGCTTTCTCAAGAAGACGGACGCTTGGCGGAAGCCAGTTGGCTTTCTGCATTGCCTGTGGGTGCTTTAGAGCGTCTCTTTTCACCCTGAGCCTTGGATCCATCTGGAAGTTTGTTGCCAGGCTGCTGGGATGTGGAAGTAGACTTACCTTCGTCCAACACGGCCACCGTGGGTCCCTGGAGGGGTTGCCCTCGTTCCCTCTTCCTGGGCTGCCACCTGACCTGCCCTTTAACACCTCCAGTCTCTGGCCTTGACGTCTGAACCTGAGCTCAGGCGAGGCATGTGGCTCAAAGTGCACCTGCTCCTCCCGTCCTTCTCTGGCACAGGGAAATCGGACAGAGACATCAAGAAACGGCAGGTGCCACATTTCAGTGTGATTGCAGGCCATGTAGCGTGCAGCTGCCTTGCCTGGGAACTGTCAGGTGCTTCAGTTCCACTGCAAGTGTGAAAAAGCTTCAGGGGAAGAGAGTTTGGAAGCAGACAGAGCGAGGAAGTTTCCAGGGCAAGCTGCTGTGGGGGCTGCAAGTCCTTTCTGGATCGCTGTGCCCCAGGTGGGCTTCACTTGCTGCTCACTGGTCTTAGTCCAGGGAGGCAGGACCACCGATTGAGCCTTGCGCCCTGTCCCTCTCCTCCTCCCTCCTGAAATGGAATCACTGTGGCTGGGCCCGGCTTCTGGCTGCTGGGAGCCCTGACTGGTGAGAGGAAGCAGGATGCTTGCCTTGACCCAGTGTCCCGGGGAAAGGATGGCTGTGCAAACCTGGACCCCTGCGCTGGCGGCTTTGTTCCCAGAGCCCACACCACCTTCCTGGCTCATCCCACAGATACGGCTGCAACCTGGGAAGAGGTAGGGGTTGTGAGCTGCCCTCCCGGCACATGTCTGAGGCAGTTGTGTTCACACCTGTCACCCAGGCCTTTAGACAGTCTGAGAGTGTCTTATTTTGACAGCACCCCTCCCTCTGCCCTCCTACCTCTCTACTGGGGTCCCCTGGACTGTGAGCCCAGCCCTGCAGCCGCAGCAGGAGGGAGCAGACCCACACCTCCCGCCAGCCAGGGCCATCTTAGCAGCCCCCGATGCAGGACATCCAGCAAACACGTGGTGACAGACAGTTGTGTGGGTCCAAGGGGGGCAGGTGGAGGCTGGGGAACAGTGGTGAGCCAGGACACACAGGGGGTGCCAGGCCAGGGGGGCGGATCTGGGTCCCCCAGCTGAGGGCCATGCACCCTGGCCTGCCTCTTTATCACATAGTGCCGTGCGTCTCTCCTTCGGGAATGCTGGTCAGGCTGACTTTGTGCTGGTTAACTGATGTCTCCCAGCACCCACAGACAAACAAGATCACGCTTGGGGTTCTGGGAAGGCCATGAACTCTGAAGAACTGGAAATCACTGGGTGGTGATGGCTTGGTTCCTCAGAGAAGATGTGCGATGGCCAAGCGTGGCAGGGACTTGCTGAATGTGACTGGGAGGACCTGGTCCCCTGGGTTCCTCTGTGCTGTCCAGGGCTTTAGTACTCAGCTGGCCACAGCCCTGGCTTTCAGGAGCAGCAGGTGTGCACCTCAGGTCTGGCAAGAGAGCCTTAGGGGAGACTGGTGCTGTGGCATAGCACATAAAGCTGCAGCCTGTGATGCTAGCACCCCATAGAGACACCGGTTTGAGTCCCAGTTACTCCATTTCCTGTCAAACCCCCTGCTAATGCACCTGGGAAAGTGATGGGACATGCCCCAGGTCCCTGGGCCACTGCACCCACATGGGAGATCCAGAAGAAACTCCTGGCTCCGTCCTGGCCCAGTCATGACTATTATTATGCATATTTGGGGAGTGAGTCAGTGGATGGAAGATTTCTCTCTCTCTGTCTGTCTATAAACAGTTAAGAGAGAGAGCCTTCCTATGCCCATGGGCAGGCGCTCCTGGTAATGGGGAGAGGCAGAGTTGAGCGTGAGCCATCTGTGCCCCATGGGCAGGGCTGTAGGTGGAGCACCCTAGCCCCAGCCGCCAGCTGTGCTCTATTCCTCGGCCACGCCTGGAGGCTTGCCTGGCAGTGGCAGGTGCCCCCTGCAGGCTTTGCCTCTTGGGGTCACACTGAGGTCTCCACCCTAAGCTCTTGGGCACCCCCCATCTGCTAACCCTCTCTCTCAGAAGTGAGGCCCACACCTGTCAGTCCCCAGCTCTGCCTCCTGCGTGAGCCGGGCCCGGGTGACTCACACCTCTCTCCAGGAGATATTGGGGGTTCCCGGCCAAGGCAGGTGCTGCCCCTGGGCCAGCTGCAGGGCGGGTGACAGCTGGCCAGTAGCACGCACAATGACCCTGGGGGATCGAGGGGACATCAGCTGGGACTTTGTACCTCCTCCCTGCACTGGACTGCCCATGGAGCGCGTGACAGGGCTGGCTGACCGAGGAGTGACAGTAGGCCGTGGGCGCTCAGGTCAGGCCTCCTTGTCTGGGGTCTTGAGGCCTCCGTGTGCACCTACTAAGTGCCTGGCCACACAAACGGGAGCTGAAAAGTGGCAGCCCCACCCTCCGCCACACTCAAGCCCAGGTGGGCTTATACACAGTCCAGCAGTGCAGGGAGAAGGGCTGGGCAGGGCAGGCTGCGGCGTCACTATAGGGATGAGGCCGGCTGCTGAGGGTGAGGACAGGAGCCTGTGTGCTCACCCCAGCCTCGGGCTGCCCTCAGGGTGGGGACTGTTGGTCCTCTCCTGGGGTGTCACAGCTCCCCAGAACCAGTGCAGCTCCAGGCTCCCAGGCCTATTCCTGAAGTGACATCGCTACCTCCCCGGGGAACCTTGACCCCCTGCTAGACACAGCGCACGCCCAACCACACGAGAGTGGCCCGGATCAGCCTGCAGCTGCCACCCAACTTTGGTGAGCGACAGGGAGAGCCATGACTTGGGTCCTGAGGAAGTGGGTTCTGTTGCCGCCTTGTGCACCCAGCCTCAATTTCTCCTCCCAGAAAACGGGCACAGTGGTTCCTGCCTCATCCAGACGTGCTGTTGGCTGACAGCTCCCGAGACACAGGACAGAGGACAGAGGTCCTGCTGGCAGGGACACCTGCGGCCTGAGAGAAGGGGCTCCTCTAGTATACGATTTAAAAATCCTTGGGCACCAGGGTTGGATCGGGGCACAGCAGGTTAAACTGCCAGTTGTGGCACGGACATTCCACATCACAGTATGATCCAGGGCCTGACTGCCTCGTGCCAACTCCCTGCTACGGCACCTGGCCAGGCACCTGCAGAAGCACCTGGGCCCTGCCACCCTGATCGAGAAGGAGTTCCAGGTGCCTGGCTTCAGCCTGGCCCAACCTTGGCTGTTGTAGCCATTTGGGGGAGTGGGTGGACCAGTAGGTGGAAGACTTCTCTCTCTCTCTCACTAACTCTGCCCTTCAAATAAATAAAATACATCGTAAAAATGTGGCCTATCTTTATTAAAATGCATCAAATCAATGGGCTGGGGCTGGAGTCTTCTGCCTCGCTCCTGCAGTGGAAGGGGCTGACTCACGCTGTTAATGTCCCTGCCGGAGCCCGTGGGTGGAGCCTTGGCCAGGCCCACACGGGCCAGGGAACCCACCCACCAGGACGTTTGCCACGAGGATCCTGGGGGCTTCCCTGAGCTGCGGGAGGGAAGCAGGTGGAGCTCGAACGATCAGCCAGTCCCACCCAAACAAACAGAGCCCCAGTGGCTGTGCAAACACAGGGGTATAAAAGGGGGCAGGCAGGAGGCACCCTGAGTCTTCCGTGTGTGCCCAGGCAAATGGTTACCATGGAGGTTAGAGCCCTGTGGCTGCTGCTCCTGCTGGCCCTGTGGTCCTCAGGCTCGGCCGACGAGTTTGTGGGCCTGTGTAAGTACTGTAGCTCCCAGGCTGGGGCGGGCAGGACGTGGGCCTGTGTGGGTGCTGCGGCCCCTGGGCTGCTTAGGGAGGAGTGGGCCTGTGTGAGTGCTGAGGCCCCTGGGCTGGGGCGGGCAGGACATGGGCCTGTGTGGGTGCTGCGGCCCCTGGGCTGCTTAGGGAGGAGTGGGCCTGTGTGGGTGCTGCGGCCCCTGGGCTGGAGCGGGCAGGACGTGGGCCTGTGTGGGTGCTGCGGCCCTGGGCTGGAGCGGGCAGGACGTGGGCCTGTGTGGGTGCTGCGGCCCTTGGCTGGAGCGGGCAGGACGTGGGCCTGTGTGGGTGCTGCGGCCCCTGGGCTGGGGCGGAGTAGTGCATGTAGTGGATCTGCCTGATTCCCATGGGACCTTCATAGGCTGTGGAGCTGGAGGCCTTGTCAATGTCATACTTGTCATTTGTCACAGACACACGTGCTTTTCTTTATGCATCTGGCGAACTCATGCCCAGGAGAAGGTGGCAACTTGTCCAAACTCAGAGCCAAACCCAGGCTGCCACGCCAGCCCCTCCTGCCCCACTGCCTTCCTCGCTGGGCACTTCTGAATGGTGTTTTGCATTTGCAAAAGAAAGACAGGTTTGAAACCAATATTCCAGATTAGTTTTATTTTTTATTTATTTATTTTTTAAGATTCGTGTTTTTTTTTCCAGAGAGCTACAAAGATAGGGGGAGAGACCAGATTGTCCACCTACTGGCACCTGTATGGGATGCCAGCATTGTGGTGGTGGCTTTACCCACTATGCCACTTCCATGGAGCCACTGTAACACAGCTCCGGCGGGCTCGTGGCTCTTGCACTCACCTGGGTCCGGTCAATCAGCCGCAGAGCTGGCAGGAGTCCCGATCCACACAAGTACACACACACACACACACACACACACAGAGGCATGTGTGTACATATGGACACATAACACACGCACAGTACTACATACACACAGGCACGCACACACACACCTGCTTGCTTAAACAGGGCCACACGCAGAGCTGAGCCACTCAGGGAGTGGACAGTGGTCAGCTGTGAGCACACATGCAACTCTTCGGCAGACACACCTGCTCCTGGCACCTCTCAACCGGGTTTTGCTGGCAAGGCAGTGAAGGGCACTTGGTATTGGAGGCCAGAAGTCTTGGAGTCCAGGGTATCCACATCGACACTGGGTTTCCTGACGCAGCCAGCCAAGAGACCAAGGGAGGAGTCCCTGGACAAATGTCTGGGGACCTGGGCTTAGCACCTGACAGGAGGATGCTGGCACTTTTTAAAAAGATTCATTCACTTATTGATTTCAAAGGCAGAGTTACAGAGAGGGAGGGAGGGGGACGGGAGAGGGATTTTCTGTCCACAGGTTCACTTCCTTAGCGACTGCAGTGGCCAGCCAAGCACCTGGAACTCCACCCGGGTCTCCCATGTGGGCACAGGGGTCCAAGCACTTGGGCCGGCCCCCACCGTTTTCCCTGGCCACGAGCAGGGGTCTGCATTGGGACTTGAACCGCAGTCCTTATAAGATGCCAGGTTCGCAGCAGCTGGGGGCTTAGCCCGGATTCCATGCGGGTGTGGGCTCAAGTCCCGGCTGCTCCACTTCCCATCCAGCTCCCTTCTGGGAAAGCAGCAGAGGATGGCCCAAGTGCCTCTGCTCTCTTTATAACTCTGCTTTTCAAATAATAAACCTTGCTTTTTAAAGCAAGGAGCTGGCTTGTTGGCATAATAGAGCTAATTATTTGCCTATGGTGCCAGCATCCCATATGGGTATTGACTTCTGTCCCGGCTGCTCCACTTCCCATCCAGCTCTCTGCCTGTGGGCTGGGAAAGCAGTGGAGGACGGCCCAAGTCCTTGGGCCCCTGCACCCGCGTGGGAGATCTGGAAGGAGCTCCTGGCTCCTGGCTTCAGATCAGCTCAGCTCTGCCAACTGTGGCCCTCGGAGGAGTGAATCAGCAGATGGAAGAGCTTCCTGTCTGTCTCTCCTTCACTCTGTGAATCTGTCTTTCCGGGACAGCGCCCAGCCAGTGCCAGGTCTCCGCTGAGGAAAGGGTGGACTGCGGCTACTCTCAGATCACCGAGGAGGAGTGCAACAACAGGGGCTGCTGCTTCGACTCCAGCATCCGGGGCGTGCCCTGGTGCTTCAAGCCTCTGCAGAATGCAGGTGAGCGCCCCCTCCCCCGGCCCAGCCTGGGTGTGGCTGAAGCCCCTGCCAGGTGGCCAGTCCTGCCAGGAAGGACATTCCCACCGGGAGGGGAGGGGCATTCCAGGGGTCACACCGACAGGGGGCGCTCTTGTCCTTTGTGTCAGGACAGCTGACACAGCCCTTATGGCACCCACACACTGAGGGGTCCTGGGCCCCTGCCCTGCCTCTGCATGCACAGCAGGGAGCAGAGGTGAGTCCCTGGGGACCAGGAGAGGGGGCGCCTGTGACCTCAGGTCCCTCCTGCGCCTCTCTGCGCCCTGCCCACTCTCACCTGCTCTGACCACCTGTGAGTGTCCAGGGGCCTCACTGAGTGACCCCCGTGTGATGAAAGCTGCCATTTCCCAGGGACGTGGGGGCGGGGGACTCAGCAGCAGGCACTGATTCTGAAGCCTCCCCCAACCCCCTTGAGAAGCCAGGCTGCTGTGGGTGGGGGCAGGGGGCCGTGTGTGGTGGGGAAGCTGGCGGGCCGTTCACCCCACTGTCCCTTATTTTCTTTCCAGAATGCACGTTTTGAAGTGCTCCTGCTGTTGCGGCCCTGGCTCCCGGTGTGAGACCCTGCACCGCGTCTCCTGCCCTGTGCCATTCCCCACCCCGCTTCTCACCCTGCTCCTACCCAACACCACCTCCAAATGTAAAAGCTGGGGCCAGATATTTTAGAGAATAAAGACCCGTGCGCTGCCTAGGACGAGCTCGCCCTCAGCTGCTGCCGCTGCTCCCATCACTCTCTTCCTCCCCTCCCCAACCCCAGCCCTGCAGCGCAAGGAGGGTATGGGGTTGCCCTGTGGCGCACCGCAGCCCTTCTCCATGGCACTGCACGGCCCAGGTGAGTTTCCCAGTAGCCGCCACCCTGTGTCACTCGGTCACCACTGTCTGTCCAAATCAGTGGCCCATCGTCCACTCGGATGACTCATGCCCCACTGTCTACCAGGTCACAGGGTGGCTCCCTGTCTCCCTCTGGTCATCTGGTGGCCGCTGTCCACCCCTGGCCATTCCGTGTCCCAAATGCCTTCCTCTGCTTACTGGTGGCCCAGGCACGCCGGAGGGGGTAGCTGTCACGTGCTGCTTCACACCACGGTGTCATCTGTGGCTGTTCGCAGTTCAAGCTTTCTCTTCGAAAAAGCTTAGAAAAGTCTGTGTCCCCGGTCCACTTCAGCTTCCAAAGGCAAGCTTGTCCCCAGCCGGGGGTCCCATCCAGCCCCCTCCCTGATCACAGCTGTCCACAGGCAAGGCTGAGGCAGTGCGGGTGCTCTGAGCCTGTCTCCTGTGCCTGTGCTGGAGTGCCAGGGCCCCTGGGATTCATGCCAATGCTCAGTGTCTCAGATGGGGATGGAGAGGAGGTGCGGGGGACACGGGGCAGCCAGTCACTGTCCTTGTGAGTGGGGCAGACCAGCTGCAGCAGGGGCAAGCTCAGCCCTCATGCTTGTACCAGTCTCCATGGGAGAAGGACACAGCCTCTCCCTTCCCGGTGAGAGATGCCACTTTGGGGTCAGCGAGCAGCCCTCCCTGGCCAGCGCACCTGCTGCACTCTGACCTTGGACCCCTACCTGCAGACTATGGGGGCATTGCCTCAATGCCCACCCTCAAACTGCCATCTTGACACACGGTCTGAACTATGGATGTGGGTGCATCTGATTGGCAACGTGAGTATTTCAGAGCCCTTGGCCGCAGCCCCTGTCCCAGCACTGTCCTGCTCAGGGCAGGCAGAGGGGGAAGGCCAAGGTGGTGGGCGCTGACCGGACGCCAGGCCATGAAAGCTGGCATGCCCAGCTAGTGTCTTCGCACAGAGGGCTAAGCTCTGGCAAATAACAATAATACTGGGAGTGCCAGTTTGAGTCCCCGTGGCTTCCCTTCTAACCCAGCTCCCTGCTAGAGCACCTAAGACAGCATCATTAGGTGGCCCCCATGCTCAGACTCCTGCCCCCCCAGGAGAGACTGGGATGGGTGTCCGGGATCCCGGCCAGTCCTGGCTGTTGCAGTCATTTGGAGTGAGCCAGCGGATGGAAGATCTCTCTCTCTCTTTTCCTATTACTCTTTCAAATAAATGATTCCTTTATAGGCCAAGTCTCCATCCAAGGCGAACACGTCTCTCGCCTCAGCCTGGCTGGGACCCTGAGTTTAGGGTGTGAGTCTCGGTGGTGGACAGGACAGGTGTCCCCTCGCACAGGCTGTTGCAGCCGGGCCAGACATGCAGGCTTAAAGGAGTCCAGGCCAGACACACACGAGGGTCTCTCCGAGGTCCCGCAGCCCAGCCATCTGTGCTGGCCACGCTGAGCCTGGGCTGGGTGGGAGACAGCAGGAGGGGCTGGATCTGGAGCTATGGAGCATGTGCTGACACCCCCGTCTGGGGCCTAGGGGGTGCAAGGGGCTGGATCCAGGGCTGTAAAGTATCTGATGACGCCCCCACCCCAACGAGGCCTGGGTCTGGGGGCAGGGGACAAGAGGGCTGGATTCAGGGCCACAGAGCACCTGCTGACCCTCCCCTACACCGCCAGGCCCAGGGCAGAGCCCGGTGGTAGATTCTGTAATGTGGGGATGGGACCTCAACCACACACGTGCGAGCGCACCTGTATGTATAAATGCACACACATGTACAGTCATTCCTCTGCACCTTCATGGTTGCTTCCAGAACATTCAAGTCTCTCCCACATACTTACACATTTATGTTGCTGTGTTGGTTTTGTTTGAAAGAGACAGGGAAAGACACACACACACACACACACACACACACACACACAGATCTTTATCGGCTGGGTCACTCCCCAGATGCCTGCAGCAGCTGGAGCTGGCCAGGCTGAAGCCAGGAGCCTGGGGTTCCATGCAGGTCGCCAGTATTGAACCTTCACGGCTCTCTCCCAGAGCGTGTGTTAGCAGGACGCCGGGACCTGGACGCACACAGCGCTCCCCTCTGCACCACACGGTGTAATGCATCCACAGTCTGTCCTGCTCACGTGCAGCACAGGCCTGCCCCCTGGGCACTGCTGCGAATGCCCAGGTCCCAGTCTGCAGCGCCTGCCTCTCTGCCTTTCAAATAAAATGGAAAGAAACCAAAGCTGTGACATGTTGGACACACTGTGACTGCCGTGTGCACAGCTGTTCCACTGTGTTGCTAATGGGACAGGGAAACCTGTGCCTGCTTAGCACGGGCTCGGGCTCACGGTTCCTGCTGTCTTCCAGCTGTGGTGGGAGGAGCCTGTGGGGCCAGAGGCCCAAAGTGTGTGTGTGTGACTGTGCTTGCTTCTGTGTGTGTGCGCATGCCTGCTTTGTGTGTGCATGTCTGTGTATCTATGTCCGTGTGTGTTTGTGTCTTACATGGGTGTGTGTTCTTTGCGTTTCTCTGTTTGCTGGAACCCCTCTTAATTGACCCGTGTTGTGTCTGACTTTCCGCTCTGACAATTCAGACTCACGTTTAAGGGTGCTCTGAGTTTCGAGGGGTGGCTAGCTCGGGGTCCTGTGTGCTGCCTTCTGAGGTGCCCTGTCCCCTTCCAGGTGACCCCAGGCTCAGGGCTTCTCCACCCTCTCCGGATGGGTGTGGGACACGGGTGCTACCCGTGCTTCTCTCTGCTCAATGCTCAGTACCCTGGCCAACAAGGCACTGCAGCTCCCTTCTGCCCTCCCACAAACCCCTTGGCCAGGCCCTGTCCTCCAGGAGGGGCTGGCCTACACCTCCCAGAGGGTGCCACTGAACACCTAGACCCGTTGACTCATTGCCAGCACATCACGGGCACCCAGGCCCTCACCAATGGTCTGTCTTGGGTGTTGATGAGCCTGCTCCCTTCTGACAGCAGTTCTCACGTTCAGCAAGAATATCTGCATCAATGAGCAGAAGGGAGGGGGTCCCTGAGCACCCAGAGTCCCTGGGGTGAGGGGGCTGCTGGCAGCACCAAGCAGAGGGCAGCTGCTGCCTGCCTGGGCTGGTGGGAAGTGAGGAGAGGCAAGAAGGGGTGGGCAGGGGCAGGGGGTTGCTGGCTCCTGGAGGAGTCTGCCCCGGCTGCAGCGTCCGGGGCTGTCCCTTCCCTGGCTGTCCCTTCCCTGGCTGTCCCTTCCCTGGCTGCGCTGCAGACAGGTGCAGCTGGTTCTGGGGCATGGGGCAGCTGCTTGCCTTCAGTCGGTGGTACAGCAGTTTTGCTGGGGCAGACCTATGTGTACAGTGGCTGGGCTTGTCCTCCACACACACGCCTTCCCACATACCTGCAAGGATACTGTCCTTTGCCCTTAGATGTCTCCTTCTGCAGGGAGGGAGGAGACAGGGCAGGCAGCAGGACCCCGCAGGTCCAGGCGCCGCTTCCGCCTGGGTGGTCTGTTGGCCCCTCCCCCGTGAAGCATGAAGGCTTGTGCTCCGAGGGGGGCGATTCATCAGCTTTGCACTGCCAAGGTGGCGTTCTGGTAGTGCAGGCTCCACTGGCAGCAAGGTGCCTAGGGACTCACACAAGCCCTTCCGTCAGTTCCTCCTCCAACCACCATGGGCTATCAGCAAACTTCGCATCCTTTGGACACTGCCCAGCAGCCTCTGGCGGGCTGCACTGTGGCATGAGACTGGGGGCAAGCAGGCAGTCACACTCAAATCGCAGCAATGGCCAAGCGAGGGACCAAGTGGGACGGCCCTAACCACTGTGCTGTCTACCGGCAGGTGCACAGGAGATGCCGGACCCACAGCCTCCTTGCCTTTCTTCTCAGGGCACTGCAATCCATCCAGGCAGCTCACGGGTGCTTGAGCAGAGCCGCGACCCCTCAGTGGGCCTCAGGGCCAGGGGTCCTTAAGACACAAAGAACACTTGGGGGAATCTGAAAATAATGATGCTTTTATTGGCTTTCTGTCACATCTTCGTAAATGGCATCTAATTTCAGAAAACAAAGTTCGAGTCTGCAAAAGATGCACGTACAAATCTAAGGAGTTAACTTGCAGGAATAACGCACCACGGGCCCAGGCTCCGCAGCGGACAGTGGGAGGCTCCCGGCCGGGGCACTGCCCAGGTCCAGCACTGCCCTGGAGGGATGCGGCCCAGCAGGCGGGCACCCAGGAGCAGATGTTATTTCTGAATATAGATATGTACATCTGTATATGTCTATTTACAGCAGTGCAAATTGCTTCCAGCGTGCAAGCAGCACATCCTGCCATCACACAGCTACACCAGTGTGGCGGTAACTGCGCAGCCACAGCCAAAACAGTCCTGCTGGCTGTCTCAGTGGGGATACGGCCGTGGCCCCATCTGCACGCTGATTCAAAAGTTACTTGCATTGACTTTCGCTTTGAGAGGCTAACAATCCCTCATCAAACACAGGGACACAGGGATTCGAGTGGGCTTCGCTCGGGCCCCACTACGCCTGTCTACAAAGGACAAAACACGAGCAGGTACAAGTGACACAGGACGCGGCGGGGGCGGGCTGTGGGGGGCTTGTCATGCACACCCCTCACCCTCGAGACACGTGGTACACCGAGAACAGACTCCTCTCTCCCCTCCCAGGTGGGGCCCCAGGCCACGAAAAGGTGCACAAGCTATCGGTGAGTGCCGGCTTGTTCTGGTGGCAGATGCAAGGGAACTGTCTTTACTTGGGCCTGGGACTAAATTTGAGACACTGGCGATAAAGCTCAGCACACCCTCAAGGTCGTCCCCAAGGTCATGGACGTGACAGAGCCCATGGAACCCCCATTCCTGCGGCTGCAGCACCCTCCCACCAGGCAAACCTCGCTTGCCGAAGCTCGCTCTCTGGGCGCCTGGACCTCAAGGCGTGCACTGCATGGAGGCAGCAATGGCAAGGGGAGCTCCCTGGCCCGTTTGGGCAGTGAGGGCTCCTGGTGGGGCAGGGCACTGACAGCGGGCACTCTGCTGCTCCCGGTCACGCGGGCCTCCGCCCTCACTCGCTGCCGGTGTCAGAAGCGTCAACACAAGCATGGCATTGAGGCTGCGCCCCAGTCCACGTGCCAGGGAAGGCCCCGGCAGCTGATCCATGTTTGGTGCAGTTTTCTAGACAAGCCAGGGGCGCGAGGTGGCCCCTACCTGGCACTGAGAGCAGGCTTGCTGACAGCAGCCCCTCGGCTGGTGGCCCTGGTCTTGCCAGTGGGCACGTGTGGCTGGCTTCTGCCATCAGGCTCGGGGAGCGTTTCTGAGAACGGCAAGGCATCCAGTGTGCGGGCCAGGCCCCTGCTTTCACAGGCACACACAACCCTCCCGCGGGGCACATGGGAAAGATCCCAGCGTGGGGGCACAATTTCCTATTGGCTGGTGGACAGGGACGCTGTGGCCACACAATGAACACAACACATACTGGGCATCCCCTCCTGGTGCCCGCCAGTCACCTTCATCTCCTGCCACAAGAGACTGTGTGCCCCTGCTCGGGCCTTCCCCACACCGCTGCCTGCTTGGGCCCTAGAGGTGCAAGCCCAGCGGGAGAGCTGGCTCCTTGGGGGGATGGGTGCTGCTGAGTGGACGCATCCTATGTCCTGCTCCATCTCGCCCTCTGGGTGACGCAGACCCAGTGAGCGGCCATGTTGCTCATTAGCAGGCGCCTGGCTCCGGGATGTCCCTCTAATACTGGACAGGCTGTGGACAGGCCGGGGAGACCCTGGGAGTCTCGCCTGGGCCCTTTGGGAGCCGTGTTGTAAAGGCTGGGAAAGTAGAGAGGAGCCACACAGCGGGCAAGCGTTCAAGAAGCGGCATGGGCATTCCTTCCAGTTGGGCTTCCGGTGCCTGGGAGACTGTGGAGCTGGCACCCGCTGCACAGGTCTGCCCAGGTGCCCTATCACCTGCCCGGCTGGCCCATTTGCACAAGTCACTCAAAGCCATGGACACCAAAGGGCAACGCTTTCTAAGGGATATTTATTAGTGGGCTTCGTTGCGTAGAGCACCGGACTCCAGACTCAGACACGGTGGGCTCCCAGCTGTACTGGCAGGTGGCTGACTCACGTTACAGCAAAATCCCCTGGCCTTGGGTTGCGCCCTTGACGGCTCCCGATCGCACAGCAAGCTCACAGGCATGAGGCCAGAGGGACTGTCTTCCCTCAGAAAGGGGGATTGGGGTGGGGTCTGCTGCTGAAATGAGGCCAAGAGCAAGAAGGACTCTGGGACCCCAGGCCCCCGTGTGCAAGGAGGTGTGTGCCTGCAGACACAGGCGCCCATCTCTGCACCCCTCCCCGCAGCAGCCTGGTCCAGCCTGGTGAGTGGTATGCAAGGGGTGTCAGGCCAGGCTGGGGCAGGGACACTACCCCGTCCACTGAGGCCAGAGTAAGACCCGCCCCAGCCTGGCCCAGCAGCCCCCTCCCTGTTCGGTGTGATGCCCATGGGCAGACTTCCCTGAAGTTAAACACAGACTTTGTGGACGGGCTGGGTAAGAGCGATCCAGAACAGGACCACACTGTGTTTACTGAAAAGGCTCTGGAGGCGCAAGGATCTCTGAGCATCTTGCAGGCCAAATCCACACAGCACAGGGACTTCTAGAATTCTCTGATCACAGGGAAGAAAAGCTTCAGGAACCCAGCCAAGGAATGGCAGAACCTCGGGCAGCCGGCCTCGAGCAGGCTCCAGTGCAGTCACGGCCGGAAGTTGCTGGCAGCTCTGCAGCCCCCACCCTCCAGGGCCACGCCTGACACTTTTGCTATTGTCCCTGGAGGTAGTTGATATGACACGTGACAAGATAGAGATTGTTTTTATGCAAAAATTAAAACCTCATCAGAACCAATCTGGACATTGGAAGCGGAAAGGAGGTGGGCGGAGCATCGGTAACAAACACGTGGTGCTGCAAACCCAAAGCGACAAGCGGACACATGGGCAGACTTCAGGAGCACCGCCAGCTCCATCGTGCGCCGCCTGGATCAGACCTGGCCAGCCACAGCCCTCCCGTGACTGTCACACATTCTTGCCAGCAGTGAGGTCCGCCCCATGACCAGCGCCAGGCCCTGCAAGTCCTGCTCTTCACCCCCAGCCTTCCCCAGCAAAGGAGCCCTGTGCGGATGGACAGGCCCGGCTGGCCTCGGCTGAGAGAGACAGGCCTTAGGAGGAGGCAGCTGTGGGTGCCCCCATGGCCATCGGAGGGCCTCCTGCACAGCATCCCACGGGGGTGAGGGGAAGTCCCACTGCACCCAGCCAGACGGGGCGTCTCCTGCAGAGTCGCCCATCCTGCACCATGGCCCCCGGGGCAGTTGTTGGAATTCTGCACGTTGATACGAACAAACCCTGGCTACACTTCCTAGTGAGAGCTAGAAGAGAAGAGGGGAAGGGATCCGACCTCACCAGGCCCAGAAGGTGGCCAGCAGCCCCTTCCCTCTGCAGGCCGGCCGCCGTCCCCAAGGAGGATGCATGGGCACCGTCCAGCAGCGGCAGCGGTCACTGCGGCAGCGGGGGGCTGTCTCCCGTCTGCTGGTCCTGTGCTGTCCCAGCAGCAGCAGTGGCCACTGTGGCAGCGGTGGGCTGTCTCCTGTCTGCTGGTCCCACGGGCCTTCTACCTCTCTGCCCGGATCTTGTATCGCAGCACGAAGTAGGCAATGAGGCGCAAGGAGATGAAGAAGATGCCCAGAACAATGAAGTCCAGGTAGAGCTTGGCGTTCTCCACGTCCAGCTCGCGCAGGATGGCCTCCGACTTCTGGAAGTGGCACGTCTCGTCGATGTCGCAGTGTAGGTCCTCCCGGTCCAGCCCATAGATGGACAAGATGACGCCCTCAAAACCGTACCTGGTATGGGTGGGGAAGGAGGCCCCTCAGCTGCTGCCCAAGCCCTGGCTCCCAGCCGGCCACCCTCGCCTCTCCCTGGGCACCCGGGGCCCTCTCAACTGACACCCAAGGGAAGGTTCAGTAGGTGTCTACGGAGAGCATCCACTGCCAGCCACCAGGTGGCGCCCATGTGTACTGTGTCGCCTGTGCACCTGCAGCAGCGAGGCTGGGTGGTGCCTCTCCCTCCCTCCCACGGTCACCTTGGTAACCAGGGATGCGTGCTACCTGACGTAGGAGATGTAGGACATCCACTGCAGGTAGGTGGGAATAGTGTCGAAACTGACGAAGAACCCTGAGAAGAGCAGGACTGGGATGGCCGTGACGGGGCCCACGAAGGTCGCCACCTATGGCAGGGGACATGAGGATAGCTGACCGCAGAGCCCTGGGCTGGGAGGCTGCCCGACTTCCAGATTCCTCACAGGGGAAGTGGCTCGGACACCAGTGCAGAGAAGTCAGAAAAGGGGCAAAGCTCCTGCCACCAGGTTGTGAAAATGGGAGGGGGAGGGGACCTACGGGAACAAGAGTACAGCCACCCCAGGGAGCTGTCAGGTGGGGTGTCATCTAGCTGGGGTGCAGTCCCCAGGGAGCTGACAGGTGGGGTGACATCCAGCTGGGGTGCAGTCCCCCTGGGAGCTGACAGGTAGGGTGACATCCAGCTGGGGTGCAGTCCTCCGGGAGCTAACAGGTGGGGTGTCATCTAGCTGGGGTGCAGTCCCCAGGAGCTAACAGGTAGGGTGTCATTGCAGCTGGGGCTGATGTCCCCCGGGAGCTGACAGGTAGAGTGTCATCCAGCTGGGCTGATGTCCCCCCGGGAGCTGACAGGTAGGGTGACATCCAGCTGGGGTGCAGTCCCCCAGGAACAGACAGGTAGGGGTGTCGCTGCATGGGGGGGGCGGGGTCTCGTGTGGAAGCAAAGGTGCAGAGGTTGGACACCTGCCCAGCTGTGACTACAGCTATCACAGAGCCAGCTGACTGGACCCCTTGGAGACCAGCAGGGGCAGGGGGCTGTGCTGTGAACCCCAACAGGACCCCATCTATGACAGAGGGGTTCAGGCTGCCATGCAGATGTTAATAGCAATTAAGCTATCAGGACGCCTGGCTCACATGCGTGCTGTGTGTGCTGTGTGTGTGTGGTGTGGTCAGTGTGTGTGTGTGTGTGGTGTGGGCAGGGCAATGGGGTGGGGCAGGGGCATGGATGGGGCAGGGCCACTGCAGGGCCACGGGGTGGAGCAGGGTCACAGGGAGCAGGACCACGGGGGGGGGGGGGGGGGGGGGCAGGGCTATGGGGTGGAGCAGGGCCACAGGGTGGAGCAGGGCCATGGGGGGCAGGGCCATGGGGGGCAGGGCTATGGGGGGCAGGGCCCTGGGATGGGGCAGGGCCACAGGGCCCTCAGGGCTGCATTCATGCTGGGCAAGCTGGGCCAGGATGGGGGAGCCTGGAGGTGGCAGTGGGGAGCAAGGAGGGCCCGTGGGAGAGCAGCCACATAACAGACCATGTTCATGGGCAGCAGCCAACGCTGTGCAAGGCTGGGGTGGCACAAGGCACGAGAGGGGCTGGAGGTGTCCCTCTGGAGCCCCCAACTCCGGCAGGGACCAGGGCGCTATCCATCAGGACGAAGGTCCCCCAGGCCAGGGAGGGAAGGTTACGCCCAGTACCCTGGGGCCAGCTGTTCTGTATCCAGTGACCCCACCCATCAGCTTGCCTCATTGTTCCTCTCTGTGCAATGGGGACAGCACAGCACCTTCACCCGTAGGCGTGCTTGGGACTGAAGGCACGTGCCATGGCTCCTACCCGCCCACCACGGCTACCCAGGTCGCTGGGCTTCCTTCCCACGGACGTGATGTCAAAGCTGGTCACGGCAGTCAGGAGTGTCGGGGGAGGAGCAGAGGGAGGTGCTGATGGGATGCCCAACCCACAGCATGGTCCTTAATAACTACCTGAAGGGAAGTGGAGGCCGCTCCGATCAGCAGCCCCAGGGACTGGGCCACGAGGGACGTCATGGTGCCCAGTGCAGCAAACAGGACAAAGCGCACGGCATCGGACGGCTGTGACGTCATCCAGTACACGATGCTGCAGTAGGCTACAGGAAACAGGACCTGACAACACGGGGCCCACCTGGTCACTGGGAGCCGGGCCTGGACAGCTGGCCGCCCACGCTCCCCAATGCCGCCCACCTGGTCACTGGGAGTCAGGCAGCTGGCCGCCCACGCTCCCCAACGCCGCCCACCTGGTCACTGGGAGTCAGGCAGCTGGCCGCCCACGCTCCCCAACGCCGCCCACCTGGTCACTGGGAGTCAGGCAGCTGGCCGCCCACGCTCCCCAATGCCGCCCACCTGGTCACTGGGAGCCAGGCCTGGACAGCTGGCCGCCCACGCTCCCCAGCGCTGCCCTGCTTCTCAGGGAAATCTATACGACCAGCCCTGTGGTTCTTCGCAGCATGACCAAGAACTTGAACCCCTGCTCTAGCCTCACTCCCACCAGCCCACCTGGAAGGGCACGTCGGCCATGGTCTTGGCGAGGTAGTAAGCCTTCAGGCTATACCAGTAGTTCAGGTGTTCCCGAAGAAACACACCCATCTCCAGGGGAACTGGGAGCAGATGGAAAAGAAGGGTCAAGAACATGCAACCACGAGGCGACCCACCCTGTGGCCAGCGGCCCTGACCCAGCTGTGGGCTGTGCCCTGCACGCCACATCCTCCTGCCAGGCTGCACAGAGTCCCTGCACTGCCCACATGCAGCACCATGGGAACACCTGCTGAACAGGTAACCTGTGACAGGTGCATCCCACCTCCCTCTTTGCTCGTCCTGGATATGCCTCGTGTCCACCTCTACTGCAAGGCTGCCCACTGCTCCTGGAAGTCAGGACAGCACTGGACAGGTTGAGGGGGACCCTGGGAGTGAGTCCGGGTGCGGGAGCCCACAGTGACCAGTGCTGCCTGCCCAGAGAGGCCGAGGCTTCCCCCTAGTGGACAAACCGGGACAGCGCAGAGTTCTGTCCAAGAGAGTGGCCCACTGCCCACGCTGGGCACAGCAGGGTCATCTGGAGGATGGATGGGCCTCCCAAGCTGAGCATCCTCCACCCGTGGGTTCACTCTGTGCCTCCCACAGCACCTTCATATCCCACAGAAACTAGAGAACGACCTTGGCTGTCAGAAAACCCATCTGCTGGTCAGCCCCCGTCAGCCCATCTGCTGGCCAGGCCTTCCAATAGCCCATCTGCTGATCAGGCCTTCCAATAGCCCATCTGCTGGTCAGCTCCCATCAGCCCATCTGCTGGTCAGCCCCCATCTGCCCATCTGCTGGTCAGCCCCGTCAGCCCATCTGCTGGTCAGCCCCCATCAGCCCATCTGCTGGTCAGCCCCCATCTGCCCGTCTGCTGGTCAGCCCCCGTCAGCCCATCTGCTGGTCAGCCCCCATCTGCCCGTCTGCTGGTCAGCCCCCGTCAGCCCATCTGCTGGTCAGCCCCCATCTGCCCGTCTGCTGGTCAGCCCGCGTCAGCCCATCTGCTGGTCAGGCCCTCCAATAGCCCATCTGCTGGCCAGGCCCCCATCTGCCCGTCTGCTGGTCAGGCCCCCGTCAGCCCATCTGCTGGCCAGGCCCCCATCTGCCCGTCTGCTGGTCAGCCCCCATCAGCCCATCTGCTGGTCAGTTCCCCGTCTAGCGTGGGGTCCGGGCAGCGGGGAGGCAGCAGCTGGCGCCAGCACTCACACGTGAGGACCGTGGGCATGAGGGCGGCAAACATAAGGAAGAGCATGGAGAAGAAGAGGAAGCCGGAGTTGCTCAGGACCTTCTTGGCCTCGTTGCCGATGCCCAGGTAGAGCAGGCCGATGAGGAGGCCGATGCCGATGTGCGAGGTGATGCGCAGGTGCGTGAGGACCTGGGCGCGGGGGCGAGGGGCCGGTGGTCAGGGCCTCGGCTCCCGCCAGGGCGCCCTCAGGCGCCGTCCTCCCCCGCCTCCAGGACACAGGCCTGAGCCCCAAGCCTGCTCAGACTCACGCACCCACAGTGTCAAGGGCACACACAGACACAACACCATGTGCATACACGAGGCGTGTGCACACACCACATACACACGTGTATGTACGTACAGTCACACACAGACACACATTGCCTGTGCACCCCTTGTACCTGGATATGTGTGGCACAGGTACACAGATGCAGGCCCGTGTGCACACACAGCCCTTGTGTGGCCACACATACGCATACAGTGTGTGCGCACACAGCACAAGGCTTTACTATACTGTGCTAAATCCTCAATAGCAAGGAATCCCACGCCCAGAAGTGAGGAAAGGAGCAAGTGTGGGAGAGTGATGCAGAGCGGCTGGGGGAGGCACTGCCTGCTGGTCCAGCAGGGTTCTCACGGGCAGGCCCCGCAGCAGCCCTGGGCACACCCCGCAGCAACCCTGGGCACGCCCCGCAGCAGCCCTGGGCAGGCCCCTCTCGCAGCAGCCCTGGGCAGGCCCCGCAGCAGCCCTGGGCACGCCCCTCTCGCAGCAGCCCTGGGCACACCCCGCAGCAACCCTGGGCAGGCCCCGCAGCAGCCCTGGGCACGCCCCTCTCGCAGCAGCCCTGGGCAGGCCCCGCAGCAGCCCTGGGCAGGCCCTGCTGCAGCCCTGGGCACACCCCTCTCGCAGCAGGTGGCCAATTGTCCACTTAGGAAGTGGTCACATCTCCTACTTATACAAGACCGCCTTCCCTGCAGTCCCTGCCCAGCCCCCAAGGCCCTCCAATGGTCAGCTTAGCCACGGCGTTGATTTGGCCACTCACGCAAGGACCAGGGCCTGAGTGCCTGCTCTCTCCAAAGAGGCTGGCAGGACCACCTCCCTCTCTGCTCCTCACGCCTTCCCTTTGCCCCGAGGGTGGACTTACTGCTGGGGCCCACCCAACCCACAGCTTCCCACATGAAGCACGTGCAAGGCCGACACACACGTGTGGGAGGGGTTTGCCCACCGTCATGGGAAACTTAGAGGGCCGACCAAGATGGACAGCACAGGTGACTGGAGGGTGCGTGCAGAGCCTGCTCCCCACAGCTGCCCCGAGGCTGGCTCAGAGAGCCACTCACCGAGTCACGCACGATGCTGAGGAAGGTCCTCCTGAAGAGGATGCAGAACTGCGTGAGGCAGCTGGCAGAAAAGCTGTGGCAGCCCTCCACCGAGGCCGAGTCCTGCGGACGGACACACGGGAGATGGAGCGGGAGGCGCCAGGGGCGGGCGCTGGGCTGGCAGGAGCATCAGGGATGGACGCTGGGCTGGGGTGGCAGGTGCACCAGGGATGGGCACTGGGCTAGGGTGGCAGGTGCACCAGGGATGGGCACTGGGCTGGAGGTGGCAGGTGCACCAGGGATGGGTGCTGGGCTGGGGGTGGCAGGTGCACCAGGGATGGGTGCTGGGCTGGGGGTGGCAGGAGCATCAGGGATGGGTGCTGGGCTGGGGGTGGCAGGTGCACCAGGGATGGGTGCTGGGCTGGGGGTGGCAGGTGCACCAGGGATGGGTGCTGGGCTGGGGGTGGCAGGAGCATCAGGGATGGGTGCTGGGCTGGGGGTGGCAGGTGCACCAGGGATGGGTGCTGGGCTGGAGCTGGCAGGTGCACCAGGGATGGGTGCTGGGCTGGGGGTGGCAGGTGCACCAGGGATGGGTGCTGGGCTGGGGGTGGCAGGTGCACCAGGGATGGGCGCTGGAGCTGGCAGGTGCACCGAGGCAGCTATGCCCAGTTGGTGGCATGCGCATGCCCCTTCGCCACTCACCCACTTTACCTCTTCTGAAGGTCGGTGCCACAGGAAAGGGTTGACCTCTGCCTCGCCCCCAAGGTCTCTCTTGTACTCAGAGTCACACATGCCCTCCCGGACCGCTCGCACCAGCCGGCCATTCTGGTCGCCGTACTCGCCGGATGCCACCTCCATGACTGCCCGGGATTGCGGAAGAATGAGTGGGGGGTAGCGTCAGTCGCAACAGAGGGTGGTGGCAACTGTGCAGACACGAGTGCTGGGGCGCTGTCACTTGGCACAGCGCAGGTGCCACTCTAACAGGATGACTGTAAACCCCAGCACAGCTGCTGCCTCGCGATGGCTCCAAACCCTGCGTCAACCAGCGTCTGGCTCCACCCCCCGCGCAGGCCAGACCTTTCGTCATGACAGGAGAATTGCCCTGTGAGGCAGACCGGGAGGCCATCGGCTTGCCTGGCCTCCAACCCCAGCATCTCCTGAGTGCCTGCCGAGAGCCAGGGTCCTTGAGGGCTTGGACCCTCTATCCTGCACCCCCTTGCAGGTGTCACAAAGTGAATCCCCCCCTGGCTCCCCTCCCGTCCCTCCTGGACCCCGTGGTCACCTCCTGCCCACCTCCAGGTCCCACTCTGCTCTACTTCCTCCGGCTGGTCCTCCCAGCCCAGGACAGCTGCCACTCCTCAGGCTCCGCTGACCTCTGCTCCCTCCCCGGCCTCCTGGACTTGGCTGCCGTGGCATTCCCAGCCACCTGCCCTCTCTGAGCACTCCCAGCTGGAGCTCTAAACCAGGCTGGACCTGCAGCCTCTGCTGGGCAGCGCCCTGGGCCCTCTGCTAGCTCACAGCCCCACCTGGTGGGCCACGCCCCTTCCTCCTGCCCTCCCCTTGTGCCAGGCCCCCTACCCTGGGCATGCCTTCTTCTTCCTGCCCCTCCTGCCAGCTGCCCACCTCCCTCCCTGTCTCTCTCTCTCTCATGCTCAAACTCCCAATCCTGAACTAGCTCCTCCAGGGCTCCCTTGGCCCCTCTCCTCCCCCCTCATCTCTATCACGCCCCGTCTTCCCAGGAACAACATCCCGAGAACACTTGGGAAGCCAGGGATCCCGGGAGTCATACGCGCAGGTGTTTTACTTAAAAAGATGCAGGGACAAAGACTGGCGGCTGGAATGAGGGCAGTGGTCCTCATGCACATGCCCTGTCCTGAGATGGGCTCACCCTGGATAAGGGTGGACCCTGAATCTGGTGGCCAGTGTCCTCATGAGAGGAGGACACGGGAGAGTGGGGGCAGGTGTGGTCACCCGGAGCAACGTGCCCCCCACCCCTGCAGCCCGTGCTGTGACCTCTGCAAGTCCCGCCCAGGGACGGTGCCTGAGCCACACGCGCAATGGTTCAGGCAGGTGCTCCCAGTTCCACGCAGACAGAAGCAGAAGCTGCCCAGTGGGAAGCAGGCTGTCTTTCCCTCCATGCCAGCCAAGGCTGTACTCACCGAAGTCGGCTGGGTTGTGGTAGGTGGGGCAGTTCAGCCCCAAATCCCTCAGGTAGGGCACAAGGTTGGAGACCTTCCCCCGGTACACGCACTGGCCCTGGCTGAGCACATACAGCTGGGAAAGCAGGGAGAGCGGATATGAGCTCCTGCCTGCGGGTGGCGTCACCTGCCACTGCAGCCGCTCTCCTGCCCAGCACCACCCCACATGATCACCTCAGGCCCTGATGAAGTTCCAGGAAAAAACTCAGCGACTCGGCCAAGCCTGATGTGTCACTGCAGGGCTTGCTTCGGGCAGGTGTGGGCTTCCCTGCAGTAGGCCCATGGGGCAGCTTGGGGCAGGGGGTGTCGGGGCAGCTTGGGGCCCACGTACCTGGTCGAAGAGCTCGAAGAGCTTGGCGCTGGGCTGGTGGATGGTGCAGATGATGGAGCGGCCCCCCTGTGCCAGCCCTTTCATCAGGGAGACCACCTGGAAGCAGGAAGCGCTGTCCAGGCCGCTGCAAGCAAGTGGATACCGTGAGATGCTTTGGACCAGGCACAGCCCAGGGCCTGGAGATGTGGGGAGGCTGTGCCCCAGGAGGCAGGCTCTGTGGGAGGCTCTCAGCGGGGGCTGTGCTCTGAATGGAGGCACACACACGGCAGGGAGGGTGGGGGCTTCAGCACCATGGGGCTTGGCAGCAGCACCTCCCCAGGAAGCGCCAAGGGTTGGCACCACAGCCCTGTCCTGCAGGCCCTCTTGGGCTGGCTATGGGGGCCAGCTGGGGCCAGAGCCACACTTGCAGGTGTTTCACAGGACAAGTGTGGGACCTTTCACAGGGACACAGCGTCCCATGCTCCTTGCAGGCTCTTGTGGATGCCCCATAGGTGCCAGGGTGGCCTCTTCCTGCCGCATCCTCAGCTGCCCGGTTTTGCAATGGGGGCAAGGGGACTGGTGTGTGAGGACAGACCCGGAGCCACGCCTCCCATGGCAGTGCAGCCACACTGCAGGGACGGGGGCAGTGATGCCTCCAACGTTGAGGCTAGCACAGCAACCAGGGCTGGGCCTCCTGTTGGCCATGGGGGATTCCGAATGCAGGAGATGATCATGGCCCCGGGGTGCAGCTGGAGAGCCAGCCCGCCCTGAAGGCAGCTGCTCCTGGAGCTTGAATACACGTGGTGTTTCCAGGGGACACACAGCACTGGCCCAAGTGACCATGCCTTGTGGCAAGGAAGGGAGTCGGTGTCACAAGACAGGAAGGCACTGTGATGGATGGACCCCCAACTCACACCCCCACGATGAACCAGCAGCTGGGGGTCTCTGACTGCAGTGTGGGTACTAGGGTCACACTGGCCCTTGCCCAGGAGAGGGGAAGGGGGTGGCAGAGCCTGTCTCCTGCTGTGGCTGGGTAGGGTCCTGGGGCCAACCATGAAAGTCCACAAGTTCAGAAGATGCCTTCTCCTTGGCCGCCTGGTCAGACCCGCCTCCCGCAGCGTACCTGGTGGGCTCATCGAAGAACATGACGGGCGGGTTGTTGACCAGCTCCAGGGCGATGGCCAGGCGCTTGCGCTGGCCGCCCGACAGGCTCCCCGTGCGGGTGTTGGCGCAGGAGAGCAGGCCCAGGGCTGTCAGGATCTCCTTGACCTGGGGGTGGCAGCAAACACATCAGAAACTGCATGTCCGCCAGGGTGGACAGCCCTGCCGCACAGGGACCCCTCCCCACAGGCCGCCAGCTCAGGCCTGGGAGGAAGTGCCTCAGTCAGACCTGCGAGCAGGAGCTCCTGCCAGGGGCCCACGTGCTGTCCTGTGTCCCTCACAGAGACTGTGGCCAGTCACTAGCTGGTGAGCGGACGTGTTCACGAGCACACATGTGGATGGGTGATCAGTGTGTGACCAGGTGGCTAGCATAAAGCAGAAGCCACTGCGGTCACTACATGAGGCCACGATGCAATGTGCATGGCGTGACCTCAGCACAGTGACCATGTGACACCCATTGCTGCCACCACAGCTCCATGATGGGAATCACAGGTACAGCCCTCAGGTGCACAGCAGGCGCACGGAGTGACCACCCTCCGCAGCAGCAGAGCAGTCTCCCACCATCACTGCTGACTCTGAGGGGGCCACAGGCAGGGTAACAGTCTGTGGGCCCCGAGAAGAGCAGGTAGGAGCCTCCGTTCAGTGGCCACCCAACTCCCAGACCCCTGGAAGCTGACTGCACTCAGAACGAAACAGGTCTCCGCGCGGAGTCCCGCACAGCTCCCCTCTGCTCTGGGTCCCCACTCACTCGGCTTCTTCCTTTCAATCCCAGAACGCAAGGGCTCCACAGGAACCTCTTCATAGCAACAGGCCGGCATTCGGCTTCTCTTAGAAACCAGGCTCGTGGGAAGTGGGCGTGTGGCAAGGGACAAGGTGCCCCCTGGGACTCCTCTGGCCCTGGGATATCCCATATGCAGAGTCTGTTCAAGGCCCAGCTCCTCCACTTCTCAGTCAACATCCTGCTAGTGCCTGTCCCAGGAGGCAGTGGGGGATGGTCGCGTATTTAGAGCCCAGCACCGTGCACGCAGGAGCCCTGGAGTGAACTCCTGCCCTGGCTCGGGCCTGGCTCGGGCATCGCTGGCTCGGGCATCGTTGGCTCGGGCCTGGCTCGGGCATTGCTGGCTCAGGCATCGCTGGCTCGGGCCTGGCTCGGGCATTGCTGGCTCAGGCATCGTTGGCTCGGGCCTGGCTAGGGCATTGCTGGCTCAGGCATCGCTGGCTCGGGCCTGGCTCAGGCATCGCTGGCTCGGGCATCGCTGGCTCGGGCATCGCTGGCTCAGGCATCACTGGCTCGGGCCTGGCTCAGGCATCGCTGGCTCGGGCATCGCTGGCTCAGGCATCACTGGCTCGGGCCTGGCTCAGGCATTGCTGGCTCGAGCATCGCTGGCTCGGGCCTGGCTCGGGCATTGCTGGCTCAGGCATCGCTGGCTCGGGCCTGGCTCGGACCTGGCTCAGGCATCGTTGGCTCGGGCCTGGCTCAGGCATTGCTGGCACAGGTTTGTCGGGGCAGTGAGCAAGCAATGGGAGGCGTGCCTCTCTTTGTCTTTCAAACAAAGTGAAAATAAATAAAAATTGTAAAAATCAAAAGGGATCTCCTCTCTCAAAAATAAATTTACAGGCGAAAAATTGAACAAATCAGGGACAAGGCTCTTTTAAAGGCTGAGTGCTGACACCCAAGGGGCCAGACCGCTTCTTGAGCCTGCGGGGGTGTGGGGGTGGGCAGGTGGTTATTTTAAAACAATGACTAACCATCTTCATTGCTGGCAGTTAATGAAAACAATGTAACTTAAGTGTATCAGACACTCAGCAGGCACAGGGCACCACCCGCCATGAGGGCCCCACCCTCCAGACGCCTCTGAGCTGAGCCCGCCAGCTCCCTGCATCCGAGGGGGAACTCGCTGCTCTGGCCCCAGCGGCCTCTCTCCTGGGCTCTGGCTGCTGCAGGCCCACAGGGCACTGGAGGCAGTCCCCCCTGCCCACACAGAACAAGCAGCAGCCAGCAGGAGCTGCACTGCCAGGTGCCAGCACGCACTTCCCCACCCACACGGTCTGTCCTGCACGCGGCCCCGAGCACACTCACCATCTCCCTCCGTCCTTCATCCTTCTCCTGCAGCTTCAGGTGAGCCGACACCTGCGGGCACAAGGTGCAGAGTGTGAAGCAGGCCTGGTTGTCGCCGCTGCCACCCACCCCAGGGCCCTCGCATGGCCACTCAATAGGGTCTCAGTGCCTCTCCCTGGGTGCGATGGAGACAGGGTTGTGGCAGCACATTAAGTGAGCACGTGTGCATGTGTGTGTGTGTCTGTCTGTCTGCCTGCCATCTCAGCTGGATTTGTTCCTGGTCCCAGCAGCAGAGCAATGGGGGGCCCCAGGAATCAGAGCTGACCCTGCAGGCCATAGCCAGGGGTCCTGCAGCCACTGCCCGCATGGCCGTGGCCTGAGAGGGTCCAGCTGGGGCTCATGTGGCACTCCCAATGCCGCTTCTGGCTGAAATCCTGTCCCCAGCAGGGACTGAGGAAACAGACTGAGTACCGACGTAAGCCGGGGCCCCCACCTTCTCTGTAGGAGCAGCAGCCGTGCAGGGGACAAACCTCCCTGTGCAGAGTGGCAGAGGCTGGGGGAGGTAACGCAGTCACACAGCAGGGCAGAGCCCGGTAGCCACAGGTGTCCCCAGGTCTCCCCAAGGCCATGGGCAGCCGTGGGACCCTGGCTCATGGCTCAGCCTTCAGGGGCTCCGTTCCACATCTCCCCTCCTGCTGACTGCACAGAACCATGTCTGCACATAGCCTGGGACCTAGCAGGTGCTGGCTCATCACTGGCTCTGCCCACCTCCAAAACTGGCAGGCAGGTAGGAAGGATAAGGAGGCCCTTGGAGTTCCAACAAATTCACCCCCGCCCCATCATGAGCTGGGACGGGGCAAAAGACGCAGAGTGGCTCAGGGACCAAGGACAGCTGATAGGGAAGCCCCAGGCCCGTCGGAAAACAGGACTGTCACCATGGACATGACCCTCTGCATTGACTGGGTCAGTAAACTTTTGGGGGACTTGGCAGCCACTGTGCCAGATGAGCCTTGGAGTTGGTTTCCCAGCAGGAAGGTCCGGGGGTGGGGCCTGGGTGGAGGCGGGGCGGGGCCTGGGTGGAGGCAGGGCGGGGCCTGGGTGAAGGTGGGGCGGGGCCTGGGTGGAGGCGGGGCGGGGCCTGGGTGAAGGTGGGGTGGGGCGGGGCCTGGGTGGAGGCAGGGCGGGACCTGGGTGAAGGCGGGGCGTGGCCTGGGTGGAGGCGGGGCGGGGCCTGGGTGGAGGCCTGGGGCGGGGCCTGGGTGGAGGCCTGGGGCGGGGCAGGGCACTCACCATCATGGCCTCGTGCACCGTGAGGTGCGGCAGCAGCATGTCGTCCTGCATGATATAGCAGGACACCTTCCGGAAGCAGCGCAGGTCCCGGGGCGTGCCGTTGATGAGCACCGCCCCCTTCATGCCAGTCTCCCTGCAGGGACCCAGAGAGGGGGAGGGTGGGCCATCAGCCCCAGGCCTGCCAGGCGAAGGTCCCCCGCAACCCACGCGCCACAGACAAGACCAACCCAAAGCGACAGCCCCAGGATGGACACGCATGCACTGTAGCGAGGACTGTGCCTGCCTGGCTGGGCAGGGCTCTGGAAGACCAGCTTCTGGAACAATCCGTAAATAGCAACTCCCTCCCCCACTGCCCGCCAGGCCAGGACCAGGGACGAGGGGAGGGAGGACACTGGCAGGGCCGTCGGGCTCCTGGGGGACCCTGTGGCACAGTGAGTAAAGCTGCTGCCCGTGATACTAGCAGCCTATATGGGCACCGATTCAAGTGCCAGCTGCTCCACTTCTGATCCAGCTCCCTGCTAAGGCACCTAGGAGAGCAGTGGAGGATGGCCCGAGTGCTTAGAACCCCGCACCCATGTGGGAGACCCAGAGGGAGCTCCTGGCTTCAGCCTGGCCCAGTCCCGGCCACTGCAGCCATCCGGGGAGTGACCCAGTGGATGGAAGATCTCTCTGTCTCACCACTCTGTCTCGCCAGTTCTTTCAAATCAATAAATCTTTAAAAATAAATCCTAAACATTGAAGAGTCATTCAGAAGCTTCAGGCAAAGTTGTGCCCGTGGCTGGTCAGGAAATGATGGTTATGATGGTTCCCGCTTATCAGCAAGGACACGGCCCAAGAGAGCACTGGCCCCTAGGGACAGCAGCGGTTCCCTGCCTTTGAGAACTTCTGTGACACCACAGAGAGGTTCACTTCACACAGCTGCCGTCCTGAGACCTGCTCCATCCACAGGGAGACTCGGGTGCCTGCGCCCCGGCGGCTGAAGGCACAGGTGAGGGCGTTCGTGGAGGACAGGGCGGCTAGGGCGTGCTCACCTGTAGCCAGCCAGGATGTTCATGAGGGTGGACTTGCCGGCCCCCGAAGGCCCCATGATGGCCACCAGCTCTCCACTGTTGAACTTCCCTGAGATTCCCTTCAGAAGCGTCTTGTAGCCTGCAAAGCAAGCACAGGGCACATGGTCTCTGACTGGCACTGCCTGTGCCCGGTGTGGTCCACAGACGGTGGCAGCCCCTACCAGGCTCTCCAACGCCCCATGCCGGGGACAGCTTGGTGGCACAGGCGGTTGAGCCAGCATTGGCGATATGCGCATCCCCCATCAAGCACCGAGTCCAGGCCCGGCTGCTCTGCGTCTGACCCGGCTCCCCAGCGGGCAGCACATGATGGCTCACGCTCTGGGGGCTGTGCCGTCCACATGGGGAATAAGCCAGTGGGTGCAAGCTTCTCTCTCTATTGCTCTGATTTCAAGTGAATAAAAATAAACATTTTAAGAACCAAAACACACACGCTGCTACCTAGGTGAGAAACAGCCTCATGCCTGCTTTACACTGTGCTGGCTTCCCCGGCTTGCAATTGCCGGCAGCGACGGCCTTGGTTATCAGCCTGCGTGAGGCACTCTGCTTTCCCACACCCCACCCATCTTACAGCAGTACCCCACCTGACAGCCCCAAGCTCGGAGCTGCACCTGCCAGACTCCCTCCCGCACCCAGCACAACTCATGCCGAGCAAACTCAATCTCTCCCCGTCTTCTCATTCACAAATGACTTACTGACACTTCTTATATTTATACCAACCTGTGTTTGCATACAATTTCTTTGATAAATAATAGTTTTGTGATTAAACTATCGATACATTATTAATTCCTAAGTTAATTTACAGAGTTTACCATCACACACTCACATGCAGCTGCTTTGGGACTTCTGCCAAGTCTCATGGTGGGAAGACTGCCAGCCCAGACAATGCCACGCGGTTTGACTTCATGACACAAGGACAGGAGGGCTTGCCCCCTGCCATCCTCCTTCCTGGCACCAGGAGCCACCTTGAGGTGGCAGGGCACAGGAAGAAGCAAAAGCCACAGGCTGGCAGTCTGGGGCTTCTGACCCAGTACAGAGGCATGGGCAGCCTCTGCCAGGGCCAAGCAAAGGGCCAGGCACAGTGGGCAGCTACAAGCTGCCACAGCGGGACACCAGGCAAGGTAGGGATTGGACACAGGTGTCCCTCGGTGGACAGACTGGGGATGGCAGAGGGCTGCAAAAAGGGTATTGCAATTATACCGTGATGGCCACCCACACCAACGTGCCCACAGTCGGCCAGGAGAAGCCAGCCCTGCCTCAGGGTCAGGGAGGACCCCTTCCCACACCCAGGACAGTGTGACGCGTGGCTGAGCTGACACCAGGTTTCTGGCATTAGAGAAATGCAGCCCCAAGGAGGGGGATTCAGGCTGCCAGGACCCTGAGGCCCCCAACTTCCACAGTAAGCCTTTGCCAAGGTGTCACCTGTTCTGCCCCCTGAAGATGTCCACTCGTAGCTCAGACCCACTCAGGCCAGCCGGTCTCCACAGCCACGCATGTGTGCCCACCTGCAGAGCCACTGGCAGTGGAAACAGCTGGAGCAGAACCGGCATCTGGAGCCCCTGGGGTTCCTTCCCACAAGCCAGCCTCACCAACCCCCACCCTCAGCTGACTCCATGTGCAGCAAATCCACTGGAGCAGGTGCACAAGTTCGCAGGCCTGACCTGCCCACATGGGAAGACGACACCCTGCTCCTGAGGGGGAGGGAGGATAGCTGACAGCTTACCCAAGAAGCTGCCCAGGCCAGGCCAGTGGCCATCTCCGTGCACTCCCCCTCCCGGGACCACAGCCACACCCAGCACATCCTGAATTCCTGAATGCACAGGCGCAATAGAAGCTGCAGCCACAGAGTCCCCTGCAGTTCAAGGTCAGCTGGGGCTACCCTCCCCTCCAAAGGCTCTGGGAGGGTTGCTCCTGCCCCTTCTGGCTTCCGGCAGACCCAGGGCACTCCTGGCCTTGCAGCTGCACCCTTCCAGGCTGTGCCCTTGAGTGGCTCCTCCCCTGTGTCTGTGATTTTCCGATGCCACAGGACCCCAGCCGCGTGGCAGCAGGGCAACCTGCTCTGGCATGCCCTCAGGGTCCCCAAGTGCCTCCACAGTCACGCCATGTCCAAGTCAGCCATGTTCCGCCCAGGTCCTCTGCAGGGGACACACTCCTGCCCTCAGCTGGAATGTGAGATGCTGGAGTGTGAGATGCTGGAGTCGATGAGAGCACTCCTCGAGGCCGTGGCACAGCGCGTCCAGCATGCTGTACCCAGGGACTCCTGCATGCCCAGAAGATGAGCTGGATGGCACAGAGTCCCCCCTCACCAGCATGAGCACCTGTGAGCCAGCTCTGGTCCCGGGAGCTTCGCCAGGAGCCCCACCCCATCACCACCGCTAGAAAGTCCATCACGCGGGAGACTCTGGAAGAAGGGAGCCAGAGGCTTTCTCAGCTGTGAGCTAACAGGGGCCTGTCTGAGCTTCCCTGGGGAGCAGCGGATGATCTGCGGGGGAAGACTACGCCAAGAGGCCCAAGCGGTCCAGCACAGACCCTGGGCACCTGCCTCCATTGCAGAATGCCAGGAAAGCTTCTGCCCCAAGGCCAAAGATGGAATCCCTGCCTGCCTCAACAGCCTGTCCCAGGACCCCTACACCTATGGGTACGCCCAGGCTTCAGAGGCGGAGCCCTACACCTATGGGTGCGCCCAGGCTACAGAAAGGGGCCCCTTACACCCATGGATGTACCCAGACTGCAGGGAAGGCTCCCATATGCCTGCAGGTGTACCCATGCTGCAGCAAGGGCCCCCTTTAAACCTGTGGGTGCACCCAGGCTGCAGGGAGGGGCCCCCTACACCTGCAGCTGCACCCAGCTGGGTCTGCCTCTCCCACACTGACCTGGGTCCTGGTGCTCACACAGCTGAGAGCCTGGCATTCACCAGCTCTGCCAGGCCAGGCTGCACCACACCCCCCTGGCACTGCTCCCCACCCCAACCATCTTCACTTTCAGGTCAAGCACCGTGCAGACCCTCCCATCCCGCAGGGGGGCATCAATGCCGGAGTCAGCAAACATGAGCACCATCAGAAGGTGCTGGGATGCGGGCAGCACAGGGACAGCCCAGGTCACAGCAGGCATGGGCCACCCTCCTGTGATGGGGAAGGGGACAGGAGGGCCAGCTGGAGGGGTGGCTTAGTGATTCGGGGGAGGACAAGCCACATTCCAGTCACCACCCACATGCACTGTCTCCTGTGTAGCCAGTGGCATTCTCTAGCCTACACATAGCCTCACCCTGCTCCTGCAGGACCCCGGCAGTGCTGAGTGACAGGTTGCTAGCCACACCCCTTCCACGGGGCACCTGTCACCAGTCGGGATGGTGTTGGAAAGGACACGATGTGTCAAGCAGCTGGGCCCAGCAGGTGCGGCCTGCCCACACCTTGGACCCTACTGCAGGCACTCTGGGATGGCCCGGGGCTCCAGGGTCCTGCATGAACCCAGGGGTGTGTGTGAGGACAGCATAAGGCCATGAACCCGAGAGGCTTCACAGTGAGCTGAGCTTGTGGCTAGTGCTTTGTCAGAGGTTTCCTAGGATCGCAGCGAGGGACAAGAGCCCATGTGCCGACTCCTGTGTCACTGCACATTTTTATACCTGTATCTCATTAGGGCCAAGACTGCACACACTCATCGTGCACCGTGCATGGATCACGCCCATCGAGGGTTCGTCGTCGCAGCGCGAGGGCACCCCACGCCCACCGAGGGTGCGTCGTCGCAGTGCGAGGGCTCCCCGCGCCCACCGAGGGTGCGTCGTCGCAGCGCGAGGGCACCCCACGCTCATCGAGGGTGCGTCGGCGCAGCGCGAGGGCACCCCACGCCCACCGAGGGTACGTCGTCACAGAGCGAGGGCACCCCACGCCCACCGAGGGTACGTCGTCACAGAGCGAGGGCACCCCACGCCCACCAAGGGTGCGTCGGCGCAGCGCGAGGGCACCCCATGTGCTTGGCAGTTTCATACATGGCTGCCCCGCCCCCTGCCTCTCCATCATGTTGAGACAGTTTGGGGACCAACACTGGGACACCATGCTGTGACATGAGGAGGACCCAGCCGCCATGCTGGACCACAGCAACACAAACCAGGCCAGGAGACCTGTCCTATGCTGTCGCTGCGTAGGGGGAGCCCATGGAGCCAAGGAAGACCTTCCTACCGCGTTCTGCCCAGCGTCAAGTGCATGCTCACCAACGCCCCCAAGGCGCCTCGCTTTCCTCTGTGGTTCTGTAACATCCCACAGAGACACGAGCCACGGTCTGCGGACTCAGCTCTTCCTCCATGAGCCCGGGGACTGCAGCCACCTCTGTGCTGTTACAACAGCATCGTGGGAATGCCAAGCCCAGAGGAAAAGAAAGTGTCAAGAGCCTGAAAACTCAGACAGGTCTCCGTTGTGGGGTGCAGGGTCCAAGCACTTGGGCCATCCTCTGCTGCTCCCCTCTGCACATGAGAGCAGAGAGCTGGATTGAAAGTGGAGCAGCCAGGACTCGAACCAGTGTCCATATGGGATGGTGGTTCACAGGTGATGGTTTAACCCGCAGCACCACCACGCTCAAGTCTCAACAAGGAGGCTTGGGGCTCTTGCTGGAGCCTGGTCCTGGGACAGACGAAGGTCGAGGTCTGACTGCCCCTGCCGACTGCCTGTCCAGCCCAGGCCAATCCCGAGCTCCAGCCTGCCTGTCCACTCCAGGCCAACCCTGAGCTCCAGCCGCCACGTTGCATTTCTCTCCACAGCCTACAGAGGGCAGTGGCGGCCAAGCAGCTATGCCTGTGGGCTGGAACAGGTTACACCAATTAGCAGCCCAGATGATAGCGCCAGCCAGCGATTTAAACCCACATGGGGCTATTAAGCCACAGCTGTGTGGACTGGAGTCAACAGCAGCACCATCTGCACGCGCCCGCATCATGACACTGACGGCAGGACTCCCCCTCCAGAAGGACCCGTTCCCTCAACCACCACCCTGTGGGGATGCCCCTGGGAACCAGGAGAGTCCGCTCAGCTTCCTGAGGAGGGAAAGAGGGGCGGGGCCTCCCCAGACACTCAGTGCCCATCCTGAGCAGCCGCC